AAAGTAGCAGCAATGATGCGCTGGAAGATCTGCAAGAGATATCATTTGCCTGCAAGCAAGAACTGGTAGGACCATAAAATAGAGAAAGTCATAGAAAATGAAGAAGTTAAATTGCTATGTTAAATAAATGATGAAATTTTAAAAAGGGCAAGAGATGATGGATAGAGACAAAATACTTTTCAAAATGGTGATTGTATTAAAATTGCGGGGGGGGAGTAGAAAGTACAAATTAAGAAAATAGTATTATACACACTGATATATAATAGAATTTACTATAATTACAATGTGCATGTTAAGGTTAGAAGTTGGAAGACTATGATTATGTATATTTAATTGTATTATTATTGTTAGCATTGTGTAAAAAATATATTGACCCAGACAATACACTGTCCACAAATATGTATGGATGTTAAAAGAAAAAGTACAACTAAAATATACATTTTTTAAAAATTGCTCTGGGACTTTAGAATTCAAACAGACAGGCACCTGCTACATAACACCTCAGACTTAACAATTGTTGATAAGAAAGACAAAAAAGTATGGCTAGTAGATGTGGCAGTGCCTGCAGACAGCAGAATAGAAGAGAAAGAATTGGAGAAGATAACAAAATACAAAAACCTACAAATAGAAATAGAACGACTGTGGCAAAGGCAAGCAAGCGTAATACCACTAGTAATAGGTGCCTTGGATGCAATTCCAAAACAACTGGAGTGCTACTTGAACACCATTGGCATTGACAAATTTGTCATCAGTCAATTGCAGAAGGCGGCTTTACTTGGAACAGCTTCTATCCTGCGACAATATCTGTAACACCATCAAACATCCAGATCTGCCTATCCCAGGTTCTTGGTAAGGACTCGATAGGTACACAAAAATGCCAAACCCAGTCTGAACATCTGGATGACTGTGCAATGATCAATAATAATAGTAATGATGATGATGATGTAATAGAAAATGAAGAATCTAAAGTGCTTTGGGACTTTAGAATTAAAACAGAGAAGCACCTGCCCATAATATTCCATACTTAACAATTGTCAATAAAAAAGACAAAAAAGTCTGGATAGTGGGTGTTGCACTACCTGGGGAGAGCAGAATACTGCTCTCTCTTCTAAAAGAAAAGGAACTGGAGAAAATCATTCACAGGTTTTACTAGTATATAAGGAACAAAAAGAGAAAGGGCAGCATGTAGCGGAGTTTAATGTTTGGCTAAAGAACTGGTGTAAAAGGAAAGGCTTTCATTTTATTAGTCATGATGTCTGCAGTTGGTCCAATGAAAAACTGTACAAAAGAGATGGTTTGCCTCCATCAAAGAAAGGGCTTCAGTTACTTGGCATTAAATTCACAGATTTTCTGGATAAATGTTTAAATTGAACAGCGGGGACAGAGAATTAATTGATACAGAACATTTCTGTCCCCAGCTAGGTTCCTAACAAACCTAGCATACAACTTTGTTTTCCAAAACGTAGAGAAGGGAACAAGGGGATCAGCCATATTGGACTTAATTCTCACTAACAGAGATAAAATGATAGAAGGTGTTGAAGCTACAGGTGTTGAAGCTACAGAAGGTGTTGGGTGCAAGTGATCATGCAATATTGGAATTCAATATTATGCAAGCACAAGTAGTAGAACAAAGTCAAACTAGAGTCTTGGACTTTAAGAGAGTTAATTTCAATAAACTTAGAGAGAGCTTAGGAAAGATTCCATGGATGAGAATCCTCAAGGGGAAAACAACTCAAGAAGCTTGGGAAATTTTGAAAAGTGAGATTATAAAAGCCCAGTCTAGCACAATACCAATGAAGAACAAAAATAACAGCTCTCAAAAGAAACCAGCATGGCTGCATAAAGAACTCTGACAAATTGAAAGACAAAAAGGACAAGTATAAAAAGTGAAAAGAGGGGCAAATAACTAAGGCAGAATATCAGCAAATAGCCCAAGCCCGTAAAGATGAAGTGAGGAAAGCTAAGGCTCACAATGAACAAAGGCTTATGATAAAAGTAAAAAATAACCAAAAGAAAGCTTCTTCCAACATGTTAAAAACAAGAAAAAAAGTCAAGGAAACAATTGGTCCATTGCTGGGAGAAGGTGACAAGCAACAGGGAGAAAGCAGAACTACTTAACTTGTTTTTTGCATCAAAGGGAAAAAACAGTCCAACATATCAAAAACAGCACCACAAAAAATAGATTAGGAACACAAGTTAAAATAGAGAAGAAAATGGTAAGTGAACACCTAGAAGCAAACAAAGTAATAACCAAAAGCCAACATGGGTTTGTCAAAAAAATCATGCCAGACTAATCTTATTGCATTCTTTGACAAAGTGACAAAATTGGCGGACCAGAGGAATACTATTGATATAATTTACTTGGACTACAGTAAAGCATTTGATAAAGTAGATCAGTGATGGCTAACCTTTTCCAGACCAAGTGCCCAAAGCGTGCACCCCTAAACCCCCAAAAAGCAATGCATGTGCCTCCCCATGCATGCGCCCTGCCCCCACACATGCGCCCCACCCCATGCATGCTTGCACACACCCCGCGCATGCACCCCACCCCTGCAAGCGTTCCACCCACACACACATGCACGCGCATCCCCGAACATCCCCCACCCCCGTTCATGCACGGCAGAGACCCGATGACCAGCTGGCCGGTGGGAGGCACATGCACAGTGGAGCTGAACTGGGGCGATGGCTCGCGTGGCCACAGAGGGGGGGGACTGTGTGCCACCTATGGCACGCATGCCATAGGTTTGCCATCATGGAAGTAGACCATAACCTACTACTTGTTGTGGTCTGCCAGCAGCCTGCAGAGCTGGCAGCAGAATTGGACAGCGATGAGGCTGAGGAAGAACATGGGCCAGTCCTGGAGACTGGGGAAAGCCCAGATAAGGGCTCTGTGTTGGAGACAGAGATGGGGCCAGGGCCATCGGGGAGTGAGGTGCAGACTCCGGAGCCTCCAGAGGCTGACAGTAGAGAGGCAGAGGAACAGGAGGAGCCTGTTCCTAGTGCACGTATGAAAAGAGCTGCCAGAAGGCAAGAGCAGCTACAGCAAAGAGGACAACTCAGGAGTAGGGCCAAGAGATGATTGACCCCTCCCATAAGGCTTAAAAGATGCAACGGCTCTTGGGCTCTTTGTCGGAAAACAACGTTGATAGACTTGTTCTTGTCTTGCTGCACTTATCTCTTGTTGGCATCTTCTGCTTCTGAACTTTTGCCAAGAGAAGCCTTTGGCAGTTTGCCTAATTATACCAAGGTTGGTAATTAGACTGAAGAATATGTGTTATGAAGAATTTGTTTTAATTTAGTTTAGACTACGCTGATAATGAGTTAATTCTCAGCTGTTCTAATAAAGTCTGTTTGTTTTGGAACTGTTTGCGTCGACTACTACCTACTTGGGCCTGGGTCACAACAGTACTAGATAAAGTAGAAAAATGTCGGTTAGACAGCATCACCACCAGATGGATTCGTAACTGGCTGACCAACCACACTCAACCTGTGGTCCTCAATGGAACTGCATCTACACAGAGCGAAGTATGCAGTGGAATACCCTGAGACTCTGTTTTAGGCCCAGTACTCTTCAACACCTTCATCAATGACTTGGACGAGGGGATAGCTGGGGAACTCATCAAATTTGCAGATGATACCAAGCTGGCAGGAACAGCCAGCACTCCAGAAGATAGGCTTAAGATACAGAAGGATCTTGACAGACTTGAACATTGGGCGCTATCTAACAAAATGAAATTCAATGGTGAAAAAAGCAAGGTTCTACATTTAGGCAAGAAAAACAAAAAGCACAGATACAGTATATATGGTACCTTGCTCAATAGTAGTAACTGTGAAAGGAATCTTGGAGTCCTAGTGGACAACCATTTAGATATGAGCCAGCAGTGTGCAGCAGCTGCCAAAAAAGCCAACACAGTTCTAGGCGCTGCATAAACAGAGGGATAGAATCAAGATCACATAAAGTGTTAATACCACTTTATAATGCCTTGGTAAGGCCACACTTGGAATACTGCATTCAGATTTGGTTGCCACAATGTAAAAAATATGTGGAGACTCTAGAAAGAGTGCAGAGAAGAGCAACAAATATGATTAGGGGACTGGAGGCTAAAACATATGAAGAACGGTTGCAGGAACTGGGTATGTCTAGTTTAATGAAAAGAAGGATTATGGGAGACATGATAGCAGTGTTCCAATATCTCAGGGACTGCCACAAAGAAGAGGGATTTAAGCTATTCTCCAAAGCACCTGAGGGTAGGACAAGAAGCAATGGATGGAAACTGTTATGTCCTTATAAGGACATCCACCCGGATTGGCTGCGAGCCATCGGGCGGGAGATTTGAATCCCTGTCAAGGGGCGGTGCGTCTGCCGGGAGCGAATATAAGGAGAGCCCCGGCAGCGCGCCTGCAGTCTTGTCTTGTACTTTTGTAGCTAATAAAGTTACTTAATGTATCGAGCTGGTCACGTCTTCATTTCCTGCGCCTGATCTAACACTGGCGACGAAGGATTAGAGAGGAGAACCTGAACAAGACTCGTGGCACGATCGCCACCCAGCTGAAGACCCGAAACCACAGCGACCCTCAGAATGGCAACTCCGCAAGCTCCGATTGCTGCACTGAACCCATTCGACCCATCCCGAGAGAAGTGGAGGTCGTACATGGTCCGATTTCGGCAGTTCCTGCGAGGCAATGGCTACCAGAACCTCGATGATGAGCGGAAAAGAGCCCTCTTCCTGGCTCACTGCGGATCGGACGTTTTGGAGATGGCGATTGACCTCGTGGCACCCAGGGACATTGAGGAGATGTCCTGGAACGACCTGCAAGAAGCCCTGCAGGAGCATTACGCACCCACAGGCACTCCAATCGCAAACAGGTTCACCTTCCAGCAGAGAAACCAGCGGGAAGGTGAATCCATCAAAGAATTCGTGGCAGCGCTTCGCCAGATCGTTGCCAACTGCGAGTTCGATAATGTGGACAACGCCATCCGAGACCGCGTTGTTTTTGGAATGAGAGATGTGGGTCTGCAAAAGAAGTTCCTCAGCCGGAAGAGGATACCACTCAAAGACGTCCTCGACGAAGCAACAGCAGCCGAAACATCCGAGAAGGCAGCCGCCGCGATGGTAAAAGCTAGAGGGATCCATAAGATCCACAAGTCGGCTCTGACCTCATCAGACGACTCAACAACGCAATCCGAGTCTGATGAGGAAAGGGCCATCCACAAGGTTTCCCGTCCCCCCAGGCGGGAAAACCCACAGCAGGGCGACCGGGGAGAACGATGCGGCAGCTGCAAAGGCGACCACCCCAGGGCAACCTGCAGATGGAGGGACGCGACCTGCCGCCGATGCCTGAAGAGGGGGCACATTGCCGAGGCCTGCAGAGCAGCAGATCCAGCCCCGGAACCGCCCAGACCACGATTCCGCGAGAATCGCAAAGATAACCAGAGGACATCCAAACGGTCCTCGAACCAGTCCCGGCGCGGGGAGGACGACTATCCCCGCAGCAGAACAGTGCACCAGACAACCATCGCTCACACAAGTGATGAGGGGACCACCAAGTTCCATGTGACGCTGATGGCGGAAGGGTCACCGTGCAAGATGGAGGTAGACTCCGGGTCCGCCTACTCCATCATGGACTGGCAGCACCTACAGCAGCTGAAACCATCCTGCAAGAAGACCCAGCTGAAAACCCCTAAGTCGAGGCTTGTGGACTTCAACGGAAATCCCATTGGAATCCTGGGCAGAACCACCATCCACATCAAATACAAGGACTTTAACGGAGAGCTGCCCATCACCATCGTGGAGAACAGCCGACCGAACCTGTTGGGAGTGGAGTGGTTTAAGCCACTGGGGCTTTCCATTGAGGGCATCCACGAAATCCATAGGGACGAACTCGACACCATCCTCGAAGAGTTCAAAGAAGTCTTCGATGGTAAGCTGGGGAAATTTGTGGGGAGGCCAATTTCCTTCAATCTGGACAAGGGAATCACCCCAATCAGGCTCAAGCCCCGCCGAGTTCCGTTTGCCCTGCGGCCTAAAGTAGACGAGCAGCTGGATAAACTGATCACCCAGGGCGTCCTGGAACCGATCGATCATGCCTCATGGGAGACCCCCATTGTGACCCCACTGAAGCATGATGGGTCTGTGCGCATCTGCGCCAACTACCGTTGTACCATCAACAAGGCGTTGGCACAGAGCGCATACCCAGTCCCAGTGGTGCAACACCTGCTGCATTCCCTGGGATCTGGCTCAATTTTCGCGAAACTGGACCTGGCCCAGGCTTACCAGCAACTGCCAGTGGATGAAAAAACGGCGGAGGCACAAACAATTGTCACGCACAGGGGGGCATTCAAATGTAACCGCCTCCAATTTGGAGTCAGCGCTGCCCCAGGCATTTTCCAATCTATGATGGAACGCCTTCTCCAAGGCGTTCCAGGGGTGGTACCTTACTTCGACGATGTGCTCGTCTCAGGTGACTCACGAGCTCAACTCCTTGAACGGCTCAGGCTTGTCCTGCAGCGGTTCAAGGCTTGAGAGTCAGGCGGGACAAGTGCACCATAGGAGTACAGGAAGTCAAGTTCCTGGGCTATCTCATTGATAGCACTGGCATCCACCCCACCAAATCAAAAGTGGAAGCAATCCATGAAGCTCCAAGCCCAAAAAACAAAACGGAGCTTCAGGCTTTCCTTGGGTTGCTCAACTTCTACGCCATTTTCTTAAAACAGAAAGCCACAGTTGCTGAGCCACTCCACCGCCTGCTGGGGAAAGCGGCTTCCTGGAAGTGGGGCCAGGAAGAGGAAGCAGCATTCCGGGCCATCAAAGGACTATTGACGTCCAAGAGCGTTCTCATCCAATACAGCGAGACGCTCCCCATCAAGCTGACCTGTGATGCATCACCTTACGGGGTGGGGGCAGTCCTCAGCCACGAACTGCCCAACGGCTCGGAAGCCCCGATCGCTTACTTCTCGAAGACCATGTCCGGCGCAGAACAGAACTACAGTCAGCTGGACAAAGAAGCCCTGGCCATTGTGGCAGGAGTGAAGCGCTTCCACGAATACCTCTACGGAAGACGCTTCACCATAGTCACCGACCACAAGCCACTCCTGGGACTCCTCGCAGGCGACCAACCCACCCCGACCTTCATGTCCCCGCGGATGACGAGATGGGCCATCTTCCTAGCCGGCTACTCCTATAGGCTCGTGCACCAGCCAGGCACAGCCATAGGAAATGCCGACGCACTCAGCAGATGCCCATCGAGGAATCCAGTCGAAGACCCAGCCCCCACGCTCCACCTATTCCACATAGACGACGATGCCAGCTGTCCAGTCTCATCCGCAGATGTGGCCGTTCACACCCAAAAGGACCCCACACTCCGCCAAGTGAAGTCCTGGATCCTCAGAGGGTGGCCATCGGAAAAAACAGAGGAGAGATTCAGCCCATTCGCCAGGAAACAGAAGGAGCTGTCCACCATCAAGGGCTGTCTGCTATGGGGAGACAGGGTGCTGATTCCAAGCACTCTGCAACGGTGGACGTTAGAGACTCTGCACAAAGGGCATCCGGGCATCGTCCGCATGAAGGCCCTGGCACGGAGTTACGTCTGGTGGCCCTCCATGGACAGAGATATTGAGCAATGGGTCTCCAGATGTGACCCGTGCCAAGAAGTTCGCCCAGCGCCGCCACAATCCGAAGTCGTGAAGTGGGAGACCCCCAGCAACCCCTGGTCGAGGATCCACATCGACTTCGCGGGTCCAATGCAGGGGCGACACCTCCTCATCGTGGTAGATGCCTTCTCCAAATGGCTCGAGGTGGTGCCCATGGCATCTACCACAACAGAAGCGACGATCCGAGCCCTGCGCCGTCTGTTCGCCACACATGGACTACCGGATGTGCTGGTCTCGGACAACGGCCCCCAGCTCACATCCCTGGCCATGGAGTCCTTCCTGGCAGGACTGGGCATCCGCCACGCCCTGTCCGCCCCGTACAGGCCGGCCGGAAATGGACAAGCTGAACGCATGGTCAGACTCACCAAAGAAGCCCTCACCAAGATGGGCCCGGGAGACTGGCAAGAACGCATAGACAACTTCCTCCTCACCCAGCACATCACGCCACATGCCACCACCCACAAGACCCCGGCCGAACTACTAATGGGCAGAAGGTTGAGGTCACCCCTGGACCGGCTGCACCCCCAATACAGCCCGGAAGTGACCGCAACCGCCAGCCGCCCGCTTCGCGCCTTCAGCAAGGGAGATTCAGTTTTCGCGCTGAATTTCAACGGCTCTCCTAAGTGGCTGAAGGGGAAGATTGCCAGCACAACCGGCCCCAAATCCTACACCGTCGAGTGGGAAGATGGACAGGTCTGCAGACGCCACATCGACCAGCTCCGGAAAAGGTGGGGGGGAGCACACAAAAACCAGCCTGACGAGGGAGGCCTACAACACCCAGACGAGGTAGGCCTACAACACCCCGGCGAGGTAGACCTACCACACCCAGACGAGGTAGGCCTATGACACCCCGGCGAGGTAGGCCTATGACACCCCGGCGAGGTAGGCCTACCACACCCCTGCGAGGCAGAGCAACGCCATCCCGACGAGGTTGGCCCGGCTCACTACCAGGTACTGTCACGTCGGCAGTCCAGCGAGGTAGACCGGGGCCAACCGCTCGGGAGATGGCAACACCAACCCAGCCAGGTGGGCACCCGGCACAGCAGGGCCAGGGACCACCAACCCAGCCCGCGAGTAGACCGGGACCTGCCCAGAGAAGGAGCAGCGCACCCCACCAGTGATGGCAGCCTACACCAGCCCAGCCAGGGAGACCGCAGTTCCAGGCGAGTAGACCGGGACCCAGCCAAGACGGGCACCCCATTACCTATGGGCGAGGGTGGCACACGACTCCCCGGCGAGAGGGACCCCCGCCCATCTCAGAGAACAGCCAGCGGACAACAACCCGACCTGGATGACCCCAGGCACCACCCGATGGTAGACCAGGGACTAGGGGGAAGGGAAAGCCAACAACAACCCGGCCAGGGAGACCTACACCACCCCGGCAGGGGAGACCTCCGCCGCCCCGCAGAGGTAGTCCCGCAACAACATCCCGACCGGGTCGACCACCACCAACCAGATGGGGTAGACCAACGCCAACCCAACCGAGGGGACCAACGCCACCCCTGCGAGGTCGGACAACACGATGCAAGCCAGCACCACCCGCGACCAGCGGACTGGACCCGAGGGCACCGAACGGAACCACCACCCAACCGGCAGCAGGCCGAATCGCGACCGAACCGCAGCGCCCGGGAAACCAGGGAAGAGCAAGCAACAGACTTACTGAGACTCAGACGCTCTTCCCGGGTCGGAACCGAGCAATCGAGACGAGGCGATAGATCCACAGGCCAGGAGGAAGACCAACAGAACCAGCCACCCAAGGTCTGCGGTCCGGCCGGAGGCGCTGGGGGTGACCCCGCTCACTCGACAGCCGAACCGAGCCCGGTTCCGGAGAGGGAACCAGGAGACGAAGGAGCCCCGTCCATCCAGGCCGGAGACGGAGAAGAAGTGAGACTGCGCAGGTCAGCTAGGGTGCCGAGGCGTCCTACGTACCTGCGCGACTACGTGACTCTTGTGAACGAGATTGACAGTTCGGACTAAGGGGGGAGGAGTGTTATGTCCTTATAAGGACATCCACCCGGATTGGCTGCGAGCCATCGGGCGGGAGATTTGAATCCCTGTCAAGGGGCGGTGCGTCTGCCGAGAGCGAATATAAGGAGAGCCCCGGCAGCGCGCCTGCAGTCTTGTCTTGTACTTTTGTAGCTAATAAAGTTACTTAATGTATCGAGCTGGTCACGTCTTCATTTCCTGCGCCTGATCTAACAGAAACTAATCAGGGAGAGAAGCAACTTAGAACTAAGGAGAAATTTCCTGACAGTTAGAACAATTAATCAGTGGAACGACTTGCCTCCAGAAGTTGTGAATGCTCCAACACTGGAAGTTTTTAAGAAGATGTTGGATAACCATTTGTCTGAAGTGGTGTAGGATTTCCTGCAAGGGGTTGGATTAGAAGACCTCCAAGGTCCCTTCCAACTCTGTTATTCTAAACTTCAAAATCACAAAATATAAAAACCTGCAAATAGAAGTAGAACAACTGTGCCAAAAAAGCAAACATAGTAAAGTTCCAGAAGAATAACACTGCTGTCATTGCATTCAGAAACTAGGTTTTTTAACATTTTGATTCCTGAGGTTCTGTCTTGTTTCTTTTAATGTAAGACTCAAAATAGCCCTATTCTCATATTTCTGTCTCAACTGTAAAAGCAGCACATGACACCAAAATCAAGATCAAGAGGTTGTTAGTGCATCTGTACATCTCTAATGCTTAGAATTAGGTTCACATTCTCAGTCATAATTCACTATCACTTGTTTTCAGTTTATTCAATAAACTACAGTTGGCTGAGTTCACATTTTGCAGTAACACAAAAAGGAGTGACAACACAATTTGATTTAACAAGATGTGTAAAGAATCTGGTAAAACAAAGGGCAGACCACAATAACACAAAGACAGGCTTTCAGGTTGTTGGAATGTATGGATTCTCCATATATTTAGAGTAGGAAATCTATTTTGGATATCTGGACATTACAATAATGAGAGACACTTCCTGTAGAAGATAACCTAAGTTTAAAAGGAGAAAGTGATCTAATAAATACTCAGGAAGAAATTATGTATTTAGAAATGGCAGATCCTCAATGAACTGTCCTCTAAAGCATGTCTCCCCAACCAGCTACATAAGACTAATGAAGTATTTAAGGTGTTAGAATCAGAGTGGAATGTTCTAAGTTGAAACCCTACTTGAACATAGTCTAGGTCCGTGGTGGCGAACCTATGGCACATGTGCCACAGGTAGCACGCGGAACCATATCTGTGGGCACGCAAGCGATCACCCTAGATCAGCTGTACCACACATGCACGTGCCAGCCAACTGATTTTCGGGCCTTCCAGTCCCACCGGAAGTCAGGAAACGGGAAGTTTCTGGCCTCCGGAGGGCCTCCAGGGGGGTGGGGAAGGTCTTTTTCACTCTCCCCAGGCTCCAAGAAAGCCTCTGGAGTCTAGGGAGGGTGAAAAATGGGCCTACCAGGCCCACCGTGCCATTGTGTGCCAAAAGTGGGGGGAGCACAGGGGGTCACGTGCACATGCATGGGGGGGCAGGTTCAGTGGTGGATTCCTCCCAGTTCAGCCCGGTTCTCCCGAGCCGGTAGCGGTGATGATATGATGTCACCGAACCGGTTCTGTCCCCCCGCACCCCCCCCGCACCCCCGCGTTATTCTTACCTTTTATTTGGCCCCACCCCCAATCTATTGCTGCCTCCTGAGCCCCAGCTGATGGCTAGAGGGAAAAAAACTGTTTAAACTCTTGCTGCAGGGCTTCAAAGGGCCGCCCTACAGCTGATCAGGGTAAAAAGAAAACAAATGGGTAGACCAGTGCCTGCAAAAATACATGAGTAGACCAGTGCCTGCAAAAAATAAATGGATAGATCTGTACAGCTCTGCAAGCAGTTAAAAGCCTGGTAGACCAGTACCTCTGCTAAATTCTAAAGAATTGTCACATGACCGTCAAACCATGCCCACAAAATAAGCCACGCCCACAGAACCAGTAGTAAAAAAAAATTTAGAACCCACTCTGGGCAGGTTGTATTGAATTATAAGTGTGGGCACAGGCACATGCGTGTGTGACCCCCCCCTGCTCCCCCTGCTTTTGGCACACGATGGCAAAAAGGTTAGCCATCACTGGTCTAGGTGATACCTCTCAGATCAATCCACTTCACATAATTTTTTTGCAGGTATAAAATTAGAAAAGATTCCCAAATAAGCCATATTGTGTTCCTAGAAATAATAATAAACATGTTTGTATCTCGTATAGTGGGATTTGTAGTTCAATAAATCTAATAGACACGAGGCTGGGAAAAGCTAATCTACTAGATTTGCTCTGTACCCATATTTATTGACATTCGAAAAACACTAAATGATTAATTGAAGGTCACATTCCTTTCTGTAGAAGTGATCATGACCTCCCCCATCCCCATGGGGATGTGATTGTGATCTAGTTGCTTGGCAACCTGTTTGCAATAAAACTGGTCGGCAAGTGCTCCACGATGATGTGATCATCACTTGAAATCTTCTCTGCCAGCTTCCCCAGAAAGTCAATGGGAAAGCCGGTAGAGAAGCTTGCAAAAGTATCCCTTAAAAATATAGTCTCATTGTATCCACTTTTGAAATTAGTAAGTTTAATTTTAAACTTTCATGGAACATAGAAGGCATTCACAGATGTAATGAACAATCTTCAAAGAAGCAGTCATTATCAAATGTACCAAAGATGCCCTCTTCTGATGACATGGTTTTATATACTGTACATTGCACGCATCATTTCTACATTCTTTGGAGTACTACAAAAAAGTTAAATAGAGCAATAGCGAAAACAGGCCCTTGGTGACTACTTGCAATAGGGCTAATTTTTCCTACACTCCTACAGTAGGATGCTCAAGAATGTCTATAAAATTTCTCCAGTACTTTGAGAAGAATGTTACTGGTAGATTTGTTTTTTGGTTACACATCTTTCTATCATCTGAAGTCTTCCTTGTTGCCCACAATTCCTCAATAAGAAGAAAAAAAGTTTTGCTCTCTCTATGCCTTTCCTTGGAATTCACCTGAAGTGTGGGAAAGAGAGGGCATCCATCATCAGCTGTTGGCCATCTCTTATCACATATAATAACAAATGACACCAGACACTATTTGGACACCAGACCAAAATTTTCTTCTCCTTTGGGGGAAAAATCTATTTCATGAAATAGAATGAGGATTGGGGGCAGCACGGTGGGAGGAGAAAACATTTTTCTGACAGTAGGTGCAGCTTCCTGATTCTGGAGTCCCTATGCTGGAAGGGGAAAGTCCAAAGTCTCTGTTTTCAAGGAATTTTGAGCAATAATCAAAAATGTTGCACCACTGCAACCATCACCTGAGTTCTGAAGTGGTGTAGTTTTTCTACCTTACAGTGGTCTGTCTCATCATGCATACCTTTAGCTGAGTAAGTCAAGAAATGTGGTATGCTTGAGGCAACTTTGAATAGCACAACCTGGTCAAAGTTTCAACATTGAGCAGATTAGCAGCAGCTAAAAAAGTTTGGCTAATGTGGCATGAACCAACAGGCTTGGAGAACCTCTCCTATGCAAGCTATTCCTCAAGACAATGCTGTGATTTTGGGCGGAGATGTGCAGGCAAGCAAGCACAAGAGACAAGAGACAGCCGGTTGTTGCACTATAAACACAAACAACCCTGTTATGCCTAATTTTTTTTTTTTTGCGGTACCCTCTTGTTTATACAATGCACCCTGAGCAACAAAGTAAGTTTGTGGTAAGCAAATGCAACAGCAGACCATGCGTACAAGATACGTCAAAAAAAAGAGAGAGAGATCAAGAGATCCCAGAGAGATTGTGATCTCAAGAAGAAAAATGAAACCTACCGTTAAATACTTCAGAACATCCCTTAGGTATAGAATATAATAAAAGAGAAGATTCGGAAATAGGGATATGATGGTTGAAGAATATAAAGCTGGAGAATATGAATACCTTTCACTGTGCTTTCCAACTTCATGTTTCCGTCAACAGATTATATTGCTGGTTCCCAGCTTTTTGCTCAAGTCCCTATCCCAACTTGTTCTACAGTAATTTATGAGGATATAGGTGTGCCAAACAATTGGGGGATGGAACAAGAAACGAAAACAATAACTGATTCTGCTGGAATCCTGGAAGGGGGTAAGCAAAGAGAGACCACACCTAAATAATTATCAAAGCCACTGTAGAAACAAAAATGGCTTACATGCCTCCAGAAAGGGCTACTGGTCATTTCTGCCTCCAAGCCAGAACAGTGAAGCTAGGAAAAAAGGGGAGCCTTCCTGCTTTTATTTTGGGATATTGAATATTCCCATTGGATACAGGGCTGGGCAAATGCTCATGGTATCAAAGAAAATTTTTGAACATTTGAGAATCAGATGCTATGGTTCAGTGGCTGTTGTAGGATGCAACAAAAGAGAGCGCACATTTCCAAGCATGTTCACAACAGGGTGCTTGACAAACACTGAAAAGAGGGGAAGGGCATGGGTTCCTGTTTGAGGGGGGCAGAAATAGGTGGTAACATAGATGTAGCACCTTTTTCTTGGAACTGCAATTTACCTACCCTCACAAAATGGCTGCTGGGGATTGCTCACTAATAAAATGGCTGTCATAGAGAATATAGCAATAGCACTTAGATTTATATACCACTTCATAGTGCTTTTACAGCCCTCTCTAAGGT